TATATTTATATATTTTATTAACGCTTTATGTCATTTAAATACTGTCATTTATTTCATTTATAGCTTTCAGTCATTATAGCTTTCCAGTATTTATTTATTCCGCACTTCTTATCTTTCCGCATCTAATCTCATTAAATATATATATCTGTCACCCAGTAACTGGTAACCGAGCCTTTTATTCGTGGTAATCAGATTGTTATATATTTCTAACACCATAACTTGTCCTCAAGTTATGGAAAATGAAGAGTTTTTCATTTAAAAGCACATTAAGTCTCATAGGTTATGAAATTGGAAGAATCTCTTAATTTTAATGTTATCATAAAATGATTTTATGTCTTCCATAACTTGTCCTCAAGTTGTGGAACTTGAAAAGTCTTTCATAAAACCATATTAAACTCATAAGTTATGGAAACCAAAAGTTTTTTGAATTGTTCAAAACTTGCCCTCAAGTTTTGGAATTTGTAAAGTTACCCCCCTGTATACTTTAATTCCAACCCTAAGAATTTTAACAGTTTAAAATTCAACCCTTATGGATTATGTGATTATGTGGATTGTGTGTGGGTTATGCTCTGGGGAACTCACTAAGCTTTGTGCTTACGGTTTACAATTTTGGTTTCAGGTATCATCGAGTTGGAAAAGAAGGGCTCGGATTAATCGCGGTGCACACGCCTATGATTTCCGCAATGAAGGATTTTGGTACGGAATCTGATAAATGTTTTACTTAATGAGGATTTAAAATGTTTGAAATAAATGGTATCAATGTTTTAGCTATATTAAAAATGAAATTTTTACCCTTGATTTTTGGGTCGTTAAATTACAGCCAATGACCTCTTTTGACAAAATCAAATGCCATTAGCATAAGAATGTGATGCAATTTGATATAAAATTTGACTAAATATGGGCAAGGCTACAGTTTGAAACTTGACAGCTTTTTCTAATTCTTTAGAAGCATGATACCTATAATTATGCCAATGTTAAAGTTTTGGAACCGTTTTAACATCTAAATCATTTAACCATATGAGTAAACATGTGTTACTTAGCTATCAAGTAAACTTCTAGCACGATGAAGATCAATCGGCTCCACCCTGTGATGTGATTCAGACCATATTTCTGTTTTTATCCCACTATTTCTTAGAAAAGACTGAACTTTTATTCATCATTCTTAATTATTTTCAGGGAGGTCATACTCATGGTTGACATATTAAACTCATCCGTGAACAATCTTGAAACTTGTACAAAACCATAAACCTTATGTTAATCAAAATGAAAGGGGTATCTTATATTACATTTTCAAATACTACATTTGGTAAAGGGTGCGATGCATATAGATTGATTTGAAAGGTTATTACTTCTTTGAATCAGGTGGTGAGGAAGCAGTAGTGCACACAAAGCTTAAATTACTTTTTCAGATCACAAGACAAACATTTGAGACGCATCAAGAGCCTGCAATTGATTATAATTTATGGACGTCGACCCACCAAATAGAAGTTGGGGTTGCGTTTAATTACGAAAACAAAAAAGTTGTAGAAATCTAATAAACGAATATCGATTTTATCACCTAAAGAGAAGATATGAGGACCGGTGCAGCTGTATCTATAAATCAACATCCGACTTAGTCCCTGTAGAAAGAGCAAATTCGCATATGACTTCCATTTAGGACGACAAAGAAAGAAAAATAGGAGATTTTGGAAACCTAAGTCACATTGTCAATACTCATCTAGTCACATGTGACGATTGTTTTCCTATAAATTCTTCAAATTATATTTGAGGAACCCAAGAAAATTCAATCACAAATCAATATGTGAAAAGGGAAGACTAAACATCTTCGGTCTCAAATCGTATGCATGTCGATGCCCATCTGTTCACAGTCCATGATCGCTTTGTTGGAAATTTTGATGAACCCAAACAAATTTAATCTCAAATCAATATGTGAAAAGTGAAGAGAAAACATCTTTAATCTCAAATCAATTATAGTAAAGCGATGGATAAGAGTTGGATGTGTCTCTTGAAGAAAGAGAGAAGTAAGTGGTGTGGGAAAGTTATTAGGAATGGAGATGGTGGAGGGATAGTGGAGGGCAGGTGTCCCGGTAATCCGGTGTGCAAATACATATTCAAGTATCTAAAGGAGGCGTGAAGTAGAAGTGCGGAGCCAACTGGGTGACTGGCGTTGGAGAAAGTGAAAAAAAACACATCATAATAAAAGCATGGTGGTGTCGATTATAGAGGAGTGGAGGTTGAAGATGGAATAATTCTTGTTCCTGTGAGCGAGTCTTGATCGAGTCTTGAGCGGTGGCATGGGGGAGACGTATTGAATAAAACGAGGAAGTGGAAGCCAGAAGATAAGAGGGAGAAGAAGCCACATATATTATTGTGTGGAAAGCATGCATTGGGCAACATAGACAGTGCGAGTGGGATAAAAGGTCTTCACATGCCAAACGAAACTGCATTCGTGAAGTACACGTTATTTTCTTAAAATAAAAGGTTTTTGTATATAATATATATATATATATATATATATATATATATATATATATATAT